AAAAAAAAAAAAAGTCTGGATAATGAACGATACCAGATTTTTCATAAAAGCCCAATATCAGCCCATTCTACCAGTCTGTCACTACCAGAGACAAGAGATGCTCTTGCTATCTGCTGATGTTACAGACTCGTTAAACAAATACCGAATTATGCAGAGTAGTGGTAAATCAGCATGACCTAAATAGATCTTACCGACCTTAAACAGCAACGAGACTGTCACACTGTCAATTCAACCATTCCGACCGCCACAAAATCAGACTCAAAAAAGGGTACACAGAGTCCTAACATGGTTATTAATGATAATAGACAATAATCGGTAGTACCAAGCACTGGAACGACAAGGTGACAGATCTAACTATACTGCAGAGTACAGGTACACATGTCCATATCGCAGGATCGACGAAACTGAGGCGGAAAACAGTGGAGGCAATACCGCTGGAAGCTAGCCGCCTCTACCGGCGTTTTGTTTCTCTCCACGAATTGTGACGTTTGGAAACCCGGTATTAGTAAAGTAGGGTGGAAATCTTAATAATGCAACACACAACATTTTGCTGTATGAAATATAAACACTCGACGTGTCACGGGATGCTGTGAAAAGCCATGTTAATTACGTTTTATAGCGTCATTTAATTTTCACGAGATACTAAGATTTCCATCCAGCGGCAAAGTAGCAGTACATAATGGAAGATAAGTCTCACCGGCACAGACATTGTTACCGTGGTAGTTAGTGTTAGCTAGTTAACTTAGTTACGTGTTTCTCTTGCCGGTGTCTCGTTGTAACTACTGACTAATGGTAGAATACGAAGTAGTTCCTCTTAATAAACGTATCAAACACACCGGCGAACACAACCTCACACAGTACGTAGCGCTAAGCTAACTACATGTAGCATTCAAAGTTAGCCAGCACGGCTAGTGCTATTCGTTGCATATGAAGTGATATGGCGGTATAATGAAATGCACCCACAGACAAAGCTAGCCGAGCAGCAGTAGCCAACTACCCCAGACGTCGGTAGAGTTGGCTGGATGCTGACCTCTCAGCAGCTAGCGTTAATTTAGCAGTCTATGCTAACTAGCATCGTGTTCACTTCCAGGACGTCACCATATGTAACGTTACAGACTCGCGGTCCAAAATGTGACAAAATTACGATTGCTTCGCTTACTTAGAACTACAAATACAATTCGGCAAACTCTGGTATCATACAGGGTGCATTTATTTCGAATTAAATACCAACTTCCACAACCGGTTCGTGCTGCTTGGTAACGTATGTTGGTGGACACTAGTGGGGATATCACGCCAGTCTGTTTAAAAAGTTGATATTTTGTGCCGAATGTTGGAGCGTATAGTGCTAAATATAACTGGGTATAAACTAAGTCACAGTGTTGGGGTTATTTACATTTCCTTATTAGCTAAGCCACATTACATTGTTGGAGGTTTTTTAATAGATTTGACGTTTTACCATGCAAGAGTGGACGCACGTACAGACACTAGACGAGAGCTAGCATTAGCTAGCGGCTAACCGCACAGACAGCTAGCGGCTAGCTAGCCACCTTGCTGTCGAAACGAACAATCACGTTGTGTGTGGGGGGGGGGTGTCTTAACAATGTAAAACATTCCTTACCTCCCACTCGGTACATGTTGGCCGCCATTCTCTCGTAACCTTTATCAAAAGCAGTCCCAGGGTATTCCCCGCCTGGGTAAGAAAAGGGTCGATGGGGATCTATTTTATTCCTTCATTTATCGTAGACACCCCCGCCGTGAAACAAAGCCGGCTCCGGACACAACAAGCCGAGATGTGGCGGGTAAAAAGTTGAAAGTTTTCGTTAGTAATGTTCCGGAGGTTATCCCCAAAATATTGAAGTCTTTGTTTTCGGTCCCTCCGACGACCTTCCTCTCCTCTTCCTCACTCACTCACTCATTCACACACAGCTAGCCTGTCTCTTACTCCACTCTTCCTCCCATCCTCCGCTCCCAGCTTCATCCTCCTCTTCTTCACCTCCGCTCAGTTCAACACACACACTCGCAAACACACACTCACTGGCCCCCTTCGCTCGTGCGCCAATCGTCATCTTCGGATAATGTCGACAATCTCCGGAATGTCACAATTAACTTTTTCACTGGCCCTGGTTTGATAAACAAGCTGTTTATAATATGAAATATAAACTCACACTCATGACTAAATGTGTAAAACCTCTTACGTGCTTTTCGGAGACCAAAACATTATTTAAATACTCGATACCTTTTTTTACAGAGACTCTACATATTACAGAAAGTAAAGAAAAGTAAAGTTGTTGCTAGATCTAGTCAAAGCAGGAAGTTGGGAATGCACACACGCGTGCGCGAACACACTCACACAGACACACGGTAGAAGCAAACAAAATATGCCCCTCAAAGAATCAAATCCTGAAATCACCAAGAATTTTGTTGGAATCTCTATTATAATTAGAGTTATGTATTAGGCTTTAATTAATAAAGTTGTATCACCAATTTCCCCATGACTGAGCTGTATGCAGAGCAAGCACAGACCTTTCATGGTCACTGAATGTTTTACTTATATGAGCTGAGAGTCCTTCAACTAAGTAGTGATATTTATTTCTCAGCTTGTATATTTTAAGGCCATTTTAAGTATGGGGGGGACTGGATTAAATGTTGTGGATAACAACTCTCATGGAAAGTCAAATTGTGACTCTTTAAATGGAAATTATGCAAAAATACGTCAATATGAGGAGAGAATAAGAAGGAATCGTGACTTTTTGACAAGTCAAGTAGTGTTAGTAATTACAGTAAGTTAATGTTATTTTAGTCAGTAAAACAAAAGGGTCATAGTCCACACATGTGCCCATCTCATGACTTTAATCTGATTATATCGTTATTGTGACTCAGTGTTTCAAGATGCAGTCAAGTCAATTTGACAATTATTATTAAAAGTGTGTTTTTAATAACATAGGGTATTGGTTTGGTTAGTGTTTGTCTGATGTCTTCTTTATGTCTCATAGGTTGTGTGTTGTAAATAGGTGCAATAAGCCTCAGCCTGCTTATCTTGGTCTGTAGACAATCAATGCTGTATTGATCTCTATTGTACGTTAAGTTGGGTTACATTTGACCTTTTTTTGTTTTTTCTTTTGTCTGTTTGGTTGTTACTTACAGAAAAGAACAACCTTCACTTTCAATTTCAATAAGTTTGAGTTGTTGTCTCATCATTTTGACTTGTAAAACCACAAAGTCACATTATTGGTTCTTAGTATCACACAATTGTGATGAATTTCAATAACTGTCTTATAAATTTGACTTAAAGCCACGATTTCAATTTAGTATCAGATCATACTTACCACAAACTAGTGTCGAAGATACAAAAGCTCACAGCAATACATATCAACCCAGTGTGGTTGTTAAATGCAACCCATCAGAAATATATCAGGAGCATACAAGAACCAAACAAAGTTCACATTGATTCCAGATATTGCAAAAAGGGAACCTATGATTCTTCCCATTAATGTTGACAAATGTGAATTATGAGCTCGCAGTTTCTCCATGTGAATACCCCAAAATCCAGTTCATGCAGTCAGACTCCAGCTCGCGGTGGATATGGTGACTTCCAGTCTTTGAGAGTCAATAAAGCTGTTTGAACGTGTGAATGGAGAACTGAAGAGACCTCAAGAGTCCAGAGAGGACCAGGTCTCTGTGAGCAAAGGGAGTCCCATAGTGAAGCCCAGGGGGAAAAAAGAAATTCACCAGTACGGATAAATTAGTGGACAGTTCCAAAATAATTGCAACAATTTACCAACATGACCTTAAGAATAGTAACCTGTGTTTGCTGTTTATTGAACAAATATGAATGCAGGACAGCGCAGTCTTCCATATTTGGTCAGGCAACACAGCATTCATAAGTCATTCACAAATTTGGTGAAACATTTCTTACTCTCTTCCAAAAGTGTCTCTCACAAGTGGACTCTCATTGGGGGATGTTTTCCTTTGCAAGATGCTTAAATTGAATTTACAGCAGAATGTACTTTAAGCTTAACTTAAAGACTCAAACTTGTTGTCCAAATAGAAGTCCTGTATGCAAATGTGCTATCCAGCACTGCTGGGGAAAAACGGTGTAAACAACAAAACTGTGACTTGCTGATTTAATAGCAGATGTAGCATTGTAACAAGTTTGTAAAAAGTAAGGACAGTAGGTAATGTGGTGTTATTTAGGACATGAGCTCTAATTTCAGCCAGAGGGGGGCAGGATGGAATGATTCATGATATGGAGGACCCGTATGTCAATGCCCTAACTTTAGCTGCCCATTAGACTTCTTTAAGTACTGGAACACCCACACCACCATCCAGAGTGGGCATACACAAATTGAATTTTTAAAATATATATAAAACCTGTGTTTTTTTATATTCCCAAATAAATTCTAAGAAAAGAAAATTCTTAAAAAGTAGATACCATCTTAATGGCGTTACTGTTTTAATTCATCAATAGCTTCTAACTAATTTAATTTGAGCAAATGTTTAGGATCTTTTGAGATAAATATGTGCTATAAACCTGAACAACCTTAAATGCAATTTATGGAAGTGCATTGCACTAAATGCATTTCCATAAATGAAACTTAGAGAAAAATCAGCCTCACCTCAACCAGCCACACTATTGAAATGACGCTTTCATGTTAATGCACCGGTAATAATAATCCAGTTGTATAATATATATTGAACTAAAAGTGGCACATCTGCATTATGAGTATTTTCATTTCATTATTTAACATTGGTTTTATTTATGCTTTTAACTAAAAAAAAGTCTTGCTTTTAACTTTTGACTTTGTGGTTTTGCTACTTTACTTCTCTCATTACTGTTAATGTCATCCTGAGGTTTGACCACTGACTCACTCTGTTATCTTCTCCTTTGAAATTACTTTTATATGCACAGTTTGTTGTAAGTTTCACTGACTGAAAGGAGTTGGAAGATCAAGATCCCTCTGTACTTGTGCGGTTCAGTGTTTGGGTTCCTGCATTTCCTCAACAGCAGCACGGCACACAAATCCTGAAGCAGCACTGCCCACTAGTGATTCTACACGCACAACACACTTTCCAGTCTTCAGTTATTTATTGAGAGCTTGGCAGATACAACATCACAGTATTCCCAAATGTTCTCTTTAATATATAAAACTACACTAAAGTAATCATTTTCAAGTGTACTGATCTACTGTTGGAGAAATGAATTAGTCAGAGATGCTGAGAATTGATTTCATTGGAACAGGTTTGTCACAGTCTGTCGGATGCAAGAGTGAAAAACATCTTCACTATTAGCTGAGATGTCGACCAAACGCTGCTCAAGATATTACAAAAATGTGTAAAAACATTATGTACAAGTCTTTAAAGGCCCCGGTGGCGGACGCCGCGATGCAGCACTTTGGTAAGTTTGATAAACGAGGTGGACTAAAATGCAGGAATGTTCACTGAAACCAAAGTCTTTGTCGCCACAGAAGTCTAGTCACAGAAGACCACCTCTAATGACCCTCACCACATATCCAACAGAATGATAGAGGGATCACACGGTCCAGTGTCACATGATTATTGAGTAAATTTAATGTGGACATTCCTCTACATGTCTTGTATGAAACTGACGCAGCAGTGGCACCGCAGAGCCCATAACTGTGACTCTTGTCCACCAGGCTGACACGCCCCTCCGGCGGTGTAAACACCCCCCCTCCCCCCTCTGTTAATAACGCAGTGTCCCTCCTAGCTGGTGGCAGGCTCCGGGGAGCTGGTGGAGGCGGACGAGGCCGAGGCCAGCCTCTCCCTGCTGTCGCCCGCCCCACCTTGGATCACCCTCCACTGGAGGATGCAGGTGTCTTTCCCGCCCATGGAGAGGAGGTGGGAGTCGCTGTGGGTGAAGCAGACGTTGGTGACGTGGCTGCCGTGGCCCTCGTACTTGTGGCTCGGCGCCTGGAGCGGGAAGGAGAGGCCGCTCTTTATGACCACACTCAATAGGTAGGGGGTTCAACAGTGAGGAAACAAGTCAGAATAAATAATTTTCTTTAAAAATGGAGGTTGTTCGTATAATGGGACGAAGTTCAGAAGAATTAAAGTTGGTCTGAAGTGTCTCAGATAAAAATAAGAATGTTACTGACACAAATGTGAAACACTGTCTACACCATTTTGCATGGACTTCATGAAACTTCAGCTCATCATTTTCCCTCTACTGTCACACAAAGACTTGCACCAAGCGTATACACCCCTGGATGCTATGGAATAAACTGCAAAACAAACTGAAAATTTAACGTGCTGCCATTTTTATAACATTTGTGATTGTTACAATTAGTGTATGTGTCTGATGACTGCTTTTTGTGATTGACTTGTCTTGTACTGTTGTATTGTTTATATGATTTGCTTTTGTTCTGAGATCTCTAATGTAAAATACACAAAGATATCTTGATCTCAGTGTAACTTCCTTAATGAACAGCTTAACTAACTGAACGCGTTTTGCTCCTGTATGTCTTCACATTTTGTCAAATTTGCGCCAAAGAAAGTCATGCTGAAGTAATAATTCGCAGTTCAGATTGTAACGTAATTTTAAAATGTTAGTTTGCCAAATTAGTTCACCAGCTAACACGATCCATGATGCTAACTTATATGCCTTCAAGTAAAACATCTAAATCTTTCTTCCACCGCTACGTGATACTGAGGAAAAGTCGGAATATTTTGATTAGGAGCTACTGAGGAACTGATCAGAAATACTGCTATAGAAAAAGTATGTTTACACTCTCAGTCTGCTGAGATGTAGTTAGCTCCCAAAATACAGTGATTAAAACTATTGGATACTTGAAAACATTAGTTACATTACACAAAGCACCTCTACATTACTACTTACATTATCCTGCATCTAGGAATCACTCAATACTCACAAGTTACTGATGGTGTCAGCAAAAAACAGCTGCCAGACATTATTGATAAACATATAGTCCAAAACAGGTGTTTCCTCTTTATGTTAAGGAAACAGTTAAAAAGCAATATTTGCTTTTCATGTGCAGCCACCCAAAGCAGACGGAACGGTTGACCTATTGAGTGATGTGTAGGGGGGTACCTTGGGTTTGGGACAGGGGTACTGGAAGAGGTGGACTTTACAAAAGTCGTCAGCCACGGCCACCATCCTTTCACTGTGGGAGCGGCATAGGGCGTTGATGTCCGTGCCGTCGGAGCCCTCCAACCACACACCTGGAACACCACAGCAACACAAGTCAGCTGTCTGACAGGATAAAACAACACCACTTTGTTTAGGCACATGAAAGTGGAGCAGTAGAGTATCTCACCAATGACATGGAAGCCCAGCACACAGGTATAGGAGGCCCATTCTCGGTCTTTGCTCTCAAAGCGATTCCTCAAAAGTTTACACCCTGCTGCTATGTCCCCTGTGAGAATATATAACATTTTGACAGTCACAACAGCAGATCGTCACGCTGTCTGAGGATTACGTACAAAATTACACTTGTTCACTTACAGTAAAGGATCTCATAGTCGCCTGAATTAGACATGATGTACTTTCCATCTTTGGCCCAATCCAGGTGAGTTATGAAGCTGGAGTGACCCTGATTGGACAGATAAGCAGAGGCAGTGTCACATAATGCTGTATGAGCCGACTGTGAAGTCGATGTGAGAGGATAAGGAAGGTGTTATTCTACACTTTCCAACAACAATACGTTCCAACTTCCCCGGGGAAGTGGTGAAGGGTTTTGTTGCTATTGTTGATGGATGAATAAATGTCATCCTTTGTGTCTGATTGTCTGTTTTAAGATGAAGATCAGAAAATGAATCTGTCCAAAAATGTTTTTATGTATTGAGGGTCAGGTTCAGGTCTCAAATTTGGCAGTTAAAAGTTTTGTTCAGCTGATTTAAAATGTGCTAAATTCCAAATGTATAGCATATCTATGTTAGAGGGGGTGCATCCACATGGTACTCAAAATGGCCACGGCTGAGCACGGCTGAGCCGGAGGCTAGCTGCTAACAGTGTTTACCCGAGGGGGAACCGGAGGGTGGGTTCTAAGCTTCCACGGGGACGCTGTGGGTCGGGACCACGTTATCAGCTGTAACTGCCACATGAGCGCAGTGCAGAGCTGCTGACAGAGGAGCGATCGTTTCAGTGTCTTGAGTTACTGACACTGAACTTTTAGAGGTGCCCCATCATGTTTTTTGTTGCCAACATGGATTGCCGATCGTCTATTTGCCCTATCGGCTGATACAGATCAGTTTTGTTTGTTATAGCAGCAGGTACACAAGGATCCAGACTTTTTTTCACCAATGTCCTGAAAAATAATTTCAACTGCTCTGAGGTCAAACAGTCATATGTTATCCTTTTACTTTGTTAGACTCATCTATCGTGGTTATTTGCATAAAAACACACAATTCAAATGATTAGGAAATAATAGTTGTATTTTTATTGATAGAAACTATCTTGGCATCGGTAGTTTTACAGATGTATTAATAGAGTTTTAGTGCACTTGTTGGGGAGTATTCTTGTTGGCGGATTAATCGGATTTGGTGCTCTTGTGAGTATTTTGGGCAGCAGGACGTTGTATGTCGGATTGAGTCAAAATAAACTACGGTGTGTGTTCATGGTGATGAAGGGCAACAGTGAGGCTCATTGATGTGTTTCTAATGGAGCTCTATGGCAAAGAGGAAGAGGTTATATCAGCAAGAAAAAAAAAGGCTATCACCAGATTTACACCTTAAATCTGGTGACATTCTGTTCTTTGTTCAAGAAGAACTGAGTGGTTAGCATTAGCAGTGATAGCCACCACTGCTGAGCAAGCACAGAACAAAAACCCTCACAGAAGGTCAGACTGGATCAAGGGGAAAATCCATGGGAACAAATGGAACATTTATGAATTTGATATTTAACTCACATTACATTTCCCAAAGCGGGTGTAACGCCGGCCGCTCTCGGTCACATTGTAGATGTAGATGAAGTTATCATGGGATCCAACAGCTAAAAAGCTGCCGTCTGAGAACACAAGAGGCCATTCATGCGGTTAAAGGGGATTTCCACAATATCTTCAGAATCAGGATCCGCTTTATTCCCAAGTAGGTTTCTACATGCAACGTGGTGGATCGGTAGATAACACAATCATTGTAAGACAAATTTCAGTTCAAAATAAAAGCAAGTATGACAAAAATCAACAAACATAAATATAGAATAGGAAAATAAATACTTTTAAAAATATGTACAATATATCTGAATTAAAAATGGAAGGGCTGTGCAGTTTTTAGAAGTGGTAGATTTGTCCATTAAGTGCTTTGAACTTTAGTTTAGGCCGATGTTCTGGCTTTATCTAACCCGGGCATGCTCCTAACTTCTGGATTATGATCATTCTGAGAGCAGTTCAACAATAGAGAGGGCTGACCTGGTGAGTATCTCATGACAGACAGCTGCTCGTTCCCATCAATGGACTCAGAGACCACCTCTCTGGTCAGCAGGTCAAGGACCATCCACCTGTTAGTGTTACAGAGGCATCAGTAATGACAAGCGACTGGACAGCAGACAGCTCTTTACTCGGTCTCGTCAGTCACATCTCTCTATATACTGTATATATGTATATATATATATATATGTATATATATATATATATATATAGAAATATATATATATGGCAAAGACTATAGATTTCCTCCTCTGTAAACGACATTTATTGCAGAGCTCAACATTTTGGGAAATATGCTTTTTTTCTGGGAGTGAGTAATTGATATCAACTTTGTGTCTGCGTCTTTAAAGCTGACATAATCAATATTTTCACATTATGATCAAAAGGCTGTGTGTCATGTGAACGATGTGACTCGTAGTGATAGACCCACAGATAACTATCTCAAAACCCTCTGAACATCTCACTCTCTGGGAAAAAGAGAATGAACCTATTTCCCAAAACTATTCCTTTAAAATGTTTCCATTATTATTTACCGAATGTATTGATTGTTAACATGATTTTAATGAAGCAAACCTTTTGGTAAATTATTGTATCTAGGTGTAACAGTGCTGCATTGTGCTGTATTACCTTCCTGTGCTGAGGCCGACTGAAACCACTGATCCATTGGGGCAGAAACCTGCGCACAACCCGTACTCCTGTCAGAGACACACAGCACGAGTTAACTGTGTGTCAGCACTGGGATCACGAGTATCGACGTGTTTTATTTAGTCAGCTGAAAGATTGCTTGAAAATAAATCCAGTACACATAAGTGTGTGTCCTCCTACCTCCAGCGTGATGCACCAGTCCAGCTTGTGCTCCTCTGTGTTCCACAAACACACCTGCCTGTCGTGGCCGCAGGTGAGGAAGATGTTCTGAGAGGGGTGTGTGGCCAGCCCCCACATCTCATCCACATGACCCTGAGACACACGCGCACACGCGCACACACACACACACACACACACACACACACACACGCAACCACACACGCATAGGGAAACAACAAAACATCAGTTTTCATCTTGTTCAGTGAGGAAGAACAAGTGAAATGAAGTCTTGACGATACGCCCATATGCTATTGTAGATATCAGTCTCACTGCGACCATACCGTATATGGTGTAGTTAGTTAGTATACTATATTGTATCAGCAGTAGACACCAGTAATCCCTCACCACACTAAACCGCCAGGGTCCAGTTTTTCTGAACAATTGATCTTAAGATGGTTTTCCTCAAACACTCGTAAAAAAACAAAACATCCTAAATTCGACATTCAGAGCATTAATATCTCAGCAACATCTATCATCTATGTAAAGATATAGAGGAGTAAAGTCTACCTGAGCAGAGAAAGAAGTTTCTCTCTCTGTGTGTTGTTATCATAGCCGGGCTGTTAGTGCATGTGAGCCACTGGCTAGCTCACGCCCGCCGCTCATAACACCGTCCCATGTAGCGCCCACCCTTCAGCTCCCCCTCAGTTGAACTCTGTTAGCTCTGTCATCACTGTCGCCGTCGTTTGCACTGTTAGCACCGTTAGCTTCTAGCCGCCGGATCAGCAGTCGCCACGTTGAGAACCGCACGGAGCTAATAGATACGCTCTGAATTTCAAATTTAGCACCTTTTAACTTCACAAATCAAATTTTCTGATTCATTGCCAAAGCAGCACTCAAGAGAGAGTACACTTTTAAGTTCCAATCAAACACGCGGCATATTATTATAAATTATCATTTATATATTAGTTATGTGAAATGTTTTCTCTGGGTTTTGGATATATTTTTCAACTTTAAGCTCCAACATTTTTGCTTTTCATCAACAATTTTGATTTAACAACCCCTAAAAAGAACACTGAGCACATTGTAGGCTTATTTATATGTCTGCAAGCCATATTGATATTAATATATTAATAATTAATATTAAAGATGCAAACATCTTTTCACATCACAAATTGACGTTGTTCATTCTATCCAACGCCTGTGGGCTGTAGGGATCTGTGTAGCTTCTAGAGGACACTAGCAGTGCTTCAGACTTCTGTGTGTGTTTTCTGTCTGGAAGATGTTTCAGTTTCCCACAGATGAAAATCTAATGTGAGCAAGAAGCCAAATTCCAGAGGTCAGTGGAGACTAAAATTAATTCTGATGCCAGCTGTTGACTGTGAGCTGCTGGATCTGAACAGGCTGAATAAATGTGGATACAAGATACTCGGGGCTGAATTAACACGTTAGGGGACCATGGGACAAAAATTTGCCTCTGACCCTCCATTCCTCCCAATCTCTGTGCATTGTGTGTTCAGTCATCTGCAAGTGCCCACCATGTACAGTGTACACAGCCAACAACATATGGGAGACTTATTCTGCCCCGGTTTGCTGTGTGTCAGGTATTTTGAGGTAATTTACATAAGTAAATTTGCACCATATAAGCACAATAGAAACTGAAACAAAAAAGGTTTTAAAACAACTTAAACCTTAAAGTTACAATCCTTAAGATTGCCACGAAATCAATCTCAATCCTTGATTCCATCCATGGTCAGCATTGTTCCTGAAATACCCATTTAAAGTATATACATTCACTAATTATCTCTCTCTAGTAGTTTTCAATGATAGTGGCGGAGTCCGCCTTGGCATATGTGAAGGATTATCGGGGAACAATGCAGCATGTAATCCGGTGTTACTGTTTGTGATCTTATCATACTGGCACCAGCCTCACTGTGTACTGTTCACCCCCTTTACACCACATGAGAGCTGCACGTTACGGCTAAAGAAAACCAAACATTCTGCTGCTGCATCACAGTAAAGCCACTCAACTGGCCAAACGCAGGCGTTTATTGCGAAGACGCCGCAGAAATCACGACCTATCTGTGATGTATTTTTTGTTATTGGTCAGCGCTGAATGCGCTCATTCAACAAAAAAGTGTCTACGAGAAACAGGATAACATTTTCTCAACAGTGGATCAGTTTGTCAGTCGTGCGCAGCATGAAATCTCATCACCACATGATTGAAAAAGAAAGATTATTGACCGGCCTCTTCATTAAACAATGTTTGTTTGCTTTGCTGCACTGTAAACAGATACAGCTGCTCAAGGAATGTTAACTTTAGTATTAAAGGCACAATGAGCAGGATCTTCCTACAAAACAATGTATAGACGCGAACAAAAAGAACCCTTCTCAATCATCATTTGTGACCCACTAGAAGTATGTGGTGGTGTTTGTATCTACGGAGACCCTGCCCTGTGTCTGGATTTTCTCTTAAACAGAGATCTGCATTTATGCTTTCTATTGGCTGATCCCTGATGATGTCACATTGTTAATGACAATCAGCAGGAGGAGAGCGAGTAACCGGTGCTAACAGCTAACGTACAGAGGTTCCATTCACTCACATTATGATGCGTTTAGGCTCTGTTCAGTAAAATTATTGGAGTATTGGAGGAAGGTAAATTGTAAATTGTAACGCTATCATGATGTGTTCAAATGTACTTGTGTAAATTTAGTTTTTTGGTGAGAAACGTGATTTGAAGGATTCCAAGATTTATTTATCAATAAAAATACAATAGCGTACCTGCACTATGGCCACAAATCCGTCCGAGAAGGTGCCTCTGAGGATGGCATTACGGGTTGTACCAACTAATAGCTCCTCCCCATCCACGTCTGCAATGGTACGGACTGCTCCATAATTTTCTGGAATCTGGACAAATAATCACAGTAATCAAGTAAACAAATACACCACCAGCCTCCACCCCTACACACACACACACACACACACACACACACGCACACACACACACACACAGCTGGGGTTCACCTCACACTCTCTCTCGGGTGCCAGGTCGGCGCTCCAGCGGATGATCTTACGGTCCTTCCCTCCTCCGCTGAGCAGAGCGCCGCCCTGCAGGGTGCACAGGGTGAACACGCTGCCTTCATGGGCTCGGGTCTGTCGCATGATCTGTAAGGTCTCTGTGGATACATAAAGCCAGTTTATGAGAGCGCATGGAGACCAAAGGATTGTCAATTTGCCCATATTATTAATGATGGTAATAAACAGCACTGACCTTTGGCTCCTTTGCCGAGCGTTTTGACATCTGCAGCTGATTTCCCCCACGTCAGGATGTTTCCCTCAGAGTCTCCGGTCAGAACATCTCCGGTCAGACTGAACACAAAGCACTGGATGAACTTGGGCTTCTTGTATTTCTGAAAAGATTGTTTGTAGAACAACAATTTGATCTGTCGTTAGTACAGGTGTTAAAATAAACATTTGCTTCACTATACTACACACGTTTAGATTTGATTCACACCGTAAATTAGTCCACATGCTTAAAATCTCCTTTGGACGTGTAATAATATTTGCACTCTTTTGGTAATTTCAATTTTCAGTTCTCTTCGTTCTCCTTACTTCCCTTTTCAGCCTCTAACTGAGGAAGTTGCAAGCTTCAATTTGTCGACAATAAAGGAAGTGAAGGTAAGTGAAGGATACTGAATGTCAGGATAAGCGGGACTGTGTCTCACCCCAAAGATGCCTTGTTTCTTGGTGAACTGTCCCGATGTGAGCGTCCAGAAGTAGACGTGAGACTTGCCACAGGTGATGATGTTGGTGCTATCACTGGGGTTAAACTCCACGGCGAACACAGCCTCGTTGGTATTCTGGAGACACGACACACATACACACGCTTTTAGCATAATGATGTTAAACGATAACTGCGTCAGTCAAGTCTATATCACATGGAAATGTGGCTGATGAGAGCTGTGAGGTGAAGATGTAAAGCTAGATAAAAAGAGGCTAAAAAGCTCCTTAGACCTGAGGTGAGTTGCAGAGTCAAGTGATAATTGTCATCTTTATTATGAACTCCTTTCACATTTTATTATTATTTTACAGTCATTTGAGTCATATAAAATATTGATTACTGCGGCTTTAATAGCTTCAAATTATCATACAACTCTGCAGCTCCTCGACGCTTTTAAGAGTCCTTTAGTACATTGTTTTGTTTTTTTACGGCCTGCAAACTTAAACTCCGCCTCCTCTCCAGCTGTGAGCCCACCATACACTATCTGTTCAGGACCACATGACAGATAAAATTAGGCACATCCCATCATGTTAGCAACACTGTGGAGGAAAAGAGGAAGGGGAAGAAGAAGAATGGCAGCTATAAAGGGAGAGTTTGGATTCTTTGAGGTGGGATTGTAGGAGGTACTTCTCCATAGTCAGTGTACTACTACAGAACATGGAGCAAAGCAATGTACTGCTGTGGACATGGGCAGCAATAAAACCTTTAAGATAGCTAAAGTCACAAGACTCATTTTACCTGGCAGAAAACGGTTGTGGCTGGTCGATCAATTAATATTGTGTGTCTTTGGTGAATCCGAACACTAAAAAAAAAAACCACCAAAGTCACACAAAAATATTCTAAATATAGCTTACACTCACACTGCTGTTGATTCTTTTTAGGTGTCTAAAATGACGTCCTCAGCAGTACATTACTTTGCTCTTGTCCTAGTTCTCCTGTCTGTTTCTCCAAACTCTATCTACTGTAGTAATACACTGATTATGGAGAAGAACCTCATACAAACCCACTCATATAAAAATCTGAACTAGGATGTTTTTTGCCACCAGGAACAGACAGTCCCAGCGGCAGGTCTTCAGTGACCACGTATACAGCATGTACAGAAAGTACAGAAGCATCAGCTCTACACAAAAAGCTCCATTCATGGCTGAGCCGTAAAGTGGCATATGGACTATTCCAGTGCTGTGGAGAGAGGGGGGGGGGGGTATAATTATCTGGTTCCTGTTGGATGAACTCGTTTGTTTATACAGCATGGTTCAGCCCTGAGCCGCCTTTCCACACCCATCCACGCTCACTGGATGCTACCATCCACAAAACATATGTTCTTGCGCAACCCCATTAAAATCCTGCCGTTACATGATATACAACACCCACCCATGCATTCCCACTGCTGAACTACATAACACACACACACACACACACACACACACACACACACACACACACACATATATACATACATACAGCTGGACAAATTCACTGCATAAAATATTTACACTGTTGCCATGACAGCCGGGCTGAAATTGCTCTCAGGGAAGTTGAGGCGTTTTGGGATAAAAGCCCATAACAGCATAGCAGAGACCCCCCCCCCCCTAATCTCTCCAAACAGACCTCCATTATAAAGAGCATCTACACATTCAGCATGCAGCCACGCTGGGCATCTCCCTGTGTTCACGTTCAGCAGCCTGAATGATTCTCGTGCTTTGACTCCGTTAAAGGATTTGATTTTTTCTGCAGGGATTATGAATCCCTGCGCCGACCGATAATTTCACAAATGTCAGATGATGTAAAGAATTCTCCAAATTGTAGAAGCACATTGCCCGCGAAGCCAGTTAAAGGAACAGTGCAATGTTTTGGGAAGTCGAGCGGTTTGTTGTTCGGAGTCAGATGACACGAGTTGAATGTCCATAGGTGCGGAGGTTTAGCCTAGCTTAGCTCAAAGACTGAGAGCAAGGAGAAACTGCTAGCTTAGCTTTGTCAAAATCGTCAAAAACACAAAAAATTTTTTTTGCACATTTTAGCAGAGAAACTCCACAACAAGCTGAATTCACAACATCATCCAAATAAGTTATGGCAAGAAAATCGCCCATTTACCAACCCTACTTTAAATATTAGCAACAGACTGTGTGATCAGTTTGTGATGCGACACCTCTTTCAGAGGCTGTAGTAGGCTGGGTTTTACATTACATTACATTACAGTCATTTAGCAGACGCTTTTATCCAAAGTGACTTACAATTCAGAGTTTATCACATTTCTACACCGTAGGAACAACTACGGGAGCAATTTTGGGGTTAAGTGTTTTGCTCAAGGACACATTGACATGCGACTAGCAGAGCCGGAGCCGGGAATTGAACCACCGACCCTCTGATTGAAAGACGGCCCTGCTATCCACTTAGCCACAGTCGCCGAAAAGCTAGAGTGAACATATTATTACATGTCATATCAAACTAGACGACCTAACAAATCCAATGATACCATGTTATGATAGCTTGTCGGGCACGGCCATTTCCAAAGGGGCCATGCCAAACATGCTATTTGTTATTTTATGATGAACTACGTTTTTAAAATTCTGAATCTTAAAACCACAACTTGTCTTATTTACCTTCTCAATTGTTTTATTATTTTGCCTTTGAACTATCAATTTATTAATGTTAGTAGTCAGCTGAGATGAATGCAACACATCACGAGGAAGGTTAACAGCAGTTCTCTTTTTGAATAAAGCTGGTGATAACAGGTAATCTCATTAGGTAGCCAGTTAGCTTAGTTTACACTTGGCTGTTCTTTACCTTGACCTCCGCGTGCTTGCTCCCCTTGTTGCAGTCCCACACCGACAGCATGTGTTCATTAGAGTCGTCGATCACACACAGGAACGCTCCGGAGTCCTGGAGACGACACCGGGAACAAATCAACACCGTAAACTCAGTGTGATATAAAGTTCCACACACTAATTCGCTCTGCTGCTCTCACTTAATACTGTTGTCATTCACTCACGTTTTTTATCTACATTGAGCTACCATCAATAATGCTGTATTGATGGGGTGTCGGAATAATCTGATAAAATATTATAAATACTAGAAGAAGTCGTGGGAACGGAAAACAAAAACTCGGAAAATCTACAAAAAATATGGTGCATGACTTTCCAAATTGATGTCAAAGAACCTAGAAACATGGCAGGCGAAAGTAAATATTGGGTTGATGGTAAGAGATCTTTTATTAATTCATGTATTACATATCAATTTGTAACATGGTATTGAGGTTGTAACCTTATGTTGCTGTCCACATAGAGTGACCTAAATTAGCTATTTAAATGTTTGAAATGAATCATATTTCATGGCTCACCTGATCTGCTTCCTTTGCGTTTGGTTGTCACACAAATACTGGAAACAGCTATCAAAGTGTTCAACGCTGTGAGCAATAAAATACAACATGTTTTCTTTGTGGCGCCCATGTTGTTTCCACATTTCTAAAACACCGAAGTTGGAAGAACGACTTCTCAACTCTGGAAATGGGAACATCCGAGGAGCACCATTAAACTCGACACCTCCAGCAGGAAAGTAACGAGAGATAATTATTAAATTTTAAAAAAACTACATTTCTGTTGCAAAGAGAAAGTGTTACCAGCTGAGTGGTGAACATAACATATCTGTTGTTGTACTGATAAGTTTAGTGCTGTGGAAATGTACATCAAACTGAATGAACGAAGACAGGTAATGGTGCATTAGCTCGGGAACCAAATAAAGACATGGTTCTCACTGTGGTTGAAATAAATGATTTAGAAATAACTATTTGAGAAGCTACAGTGTGGTGTATTAGAAATCTACTCACAGCAAAGGAAAACGCAACGGCTCCCACTCCCCTCTGGAAGCTTCCCAGGCCGATCTGCTGCAGGGTGACCAGGGTGGTGGAGTCCCAAATATGAACACAAGGGTGCAGGGGCTAATGCACGCACAGACACACGCGCACACACACACACGCGCACACACACACACACACGCGCGCGCGCACACACACACACACAC